AAACTGGGTGAGGGCCTGAGGCCCATTTTCAGGCTGGCCACGCCCCCCGGTGACCCAAGCTCCCAGCCTCTCCTTTTTTTCTTTCTTTCTTTTTTTTCAGCACCTCCTTGAGCAGAGGCCAGGGTGGGCTGGAAGCAGGTATCTGGGATTTATTTATCTTCTATAATTGAAACTTTGTAGCCTTGAGCAGAGCCCAGGGCTGGCCAGGGCAGGCGGGAAGCTTGGCTTCCTCCATCGCTGGAGGCAACCCAAGCCTCCTGCTCACTCCAACTCTGTGGCCGCCATCTTAGTTGGGTTAGCTTGCATACTCACTGATTGGCTGGTGGGTGTGGCTTGTGGGAATAGCGGAGTGGCAGAGTGATGGTTAATTTGCATCTTTCTCTTTTATTAGTGTAGATTACTCCCAGACCAAATTACGTTTTATAGTGCAGATGACTTTAAGGAACATTATCCTGGGCATCCTAACCTAATCACATGAGGCCTCCAACATCCGAGTTTCCTCTGGCTGGTGCAGGAGGGAAGCCAGAGATTCACGGTACCAAACGGGTAAGTGCACCACTGCTGGTTTGAAGATGAAGCTCGTGTAGGAAGGGCCTGACAGTGACCTCTGGGAGCTGAGAGGGACCCCTGACTGACAGCCAGCAAGAAAAGGGGACCTCAGTCATAAAGCCATGACCTGGATTTTGCCCACAACCTGACTGAGCTCAGAAGTGGATTTTTGGACACGCAGGGACTCAAGGGAGGCTTCTGAGAGCCAGGCAATGGTGATTCCTGAGCTGGGTGAGAGTTACATGGGAGGCTTGCTTTATGCTCATTCATGGAGGTAAATATTTACATTTTAAGCACTTTTCTATAGTATCGTTGTTGAATCAGAAAAAGTTTAAAAATTCAAATAACTTGTAAGAAATCACATTTTTAAGAGTAAAATTTTCATCATGGAATGTATCTCACCCCACCTTTATTCCTACTCTTTTTCCCCCCCTGATAATTTCTCACCTAAGCATACTTTTTAAAAAGACAGTAGAATACCAGTTGGCCTTTCCAGTGATTGCCTCAAAGAAGTCATCTTTTTCATTCCTCAGAAATGCTCACAACACAACACAGTGATCAGAAACAATACCAAATAGAAGTGTAATTTCCTAAGGGGAAAACACATTTCTCTTGGCAAAGACTCTCAACAGCATTCCTGGAAACCAGCAGAATTCAGAGTCTCAAGCACCACAGTGAAGGAAATATCTAGAAGCAAGAGTAATGGAAACAAAAACACGAGAGACAGAGAATGATTTAGGAGAATCTTAATTGTTTAGTTTTGTTTCATTACAAATCTAACTACAGGTGCTAAAAAAACTCACCGAAGATTCTAATATTCTTTTGTATTCTCTACTATCATCTGCAATATGTGTAATGGCCGAATATTACTGTAGGACTTCAACTCATGGTAGAGTGGCTCACAGTTTAAAATAGCTGAGGGCTGAAGGTGGAGATCAACAGGACTCTCTTCTCACAGGTCAAATGCCATCACTGATTTCTCCAATTACACATAATCCACAAAAGACGGCTGCCTTCTGCTTAGCCCAATTGCCCATCTTATGCCATTTTGTCTGAAAAAACCCCATTCATCTTTCAGTCCAATTTCATTAATCTTCTCCTCCCTTACTTATCTCAGTAGAACTAATCTCTGCTTTCTTGGTACCACTCACGCCCTGTATCTGTCTTCATGACAGCCCTTGCTGTCACACAGTAAAATTCTCCACCATTCTCGCCCTACTCTGCGGGAAGTAACTTAAGGGCAGGGCTATCTTTCATGTAGTCTTCCCTCCAGTGCTCCTCTAAGTGCTGGGTCCATGGCAGGTATCAGTAAAGGTTGTAAAATGGGAAGGAACTGAGGAGGAGGTAGCTGGGCTGGTTGCTGTTTTGTTTTTTTTGGGGGGGGTGAGGGGAGGGCAGAGGGGTCTGGAGAAAAAGCCCACTGCCTTCTTTGAACGGATCACAATGGAGGCCAGAACTGGAGGCCGAAGTACCTGACTTTGGTAACCAAGCTGGAAGGGACGGGTGTAAAACAGGGACAAATCATCGCAGGCAAGAGGGAGAGCCTAGGAGCTGCTGGTAAGACTAACCAACCACAAGGCACATAACCCACTGGTCAGTGCAGCAGAGGAAATGCAGAGGGAAGCAAAGCCACATGAATGATAAAATAAGGGGTTTGGGAGAATATGAATGCTTTCTGAATAGAATTTAGGGCAGGAAACCAGGTTTCCTGCAGTTTGGTGGTATGTAGATTCCCTAGTAGAATGCCCCAATTTGTTTGGTTTTGCCATTATATCGCAGAGACAGGGCTATTGGTGCTGCCAAGGAAATTACTGAAGATGGGCAGTTTAATGGGTGAAGTCTGAAGGCAGGAAATCGGCCACAGGTGGCCACACAGAAATCTAGAGGGGCAGAAGTCATAGTGTGAACCTGAGATGACAACATGGAAATAAAGGTCTATGTGCAAAAGACAAAAGAGTGAAAATCTAGAAAGAACCCACATCCCCGACGGCCCATTCAGATATTAGTTACCTCTAGACTATCTACCTCTAGATTTCCTGGTGCCTGAGAAAGATAGATTCCTGTTTAGGCCACTTTAATATACCTTTCTGTTATCCATAGTTAAAATCAATCCTAGCCGATTATAGCAAGAAAAGAGGGGGCCTTTGAATTTCCTGGATTGTTCTGGTCATAGCACAGGGGTTGCTGATGTTCTTAACCTCCTGTGAGATCCTGGTACTTGACTCGGGGAGAAGGGTGGCATCATGCCTTGTCTACACTCTGCGAGGAGGCAGAGGGAGGATCTGACTGAAAACGAGCCTTTCCAGGGGCGGCCCCTCCCAGCACATCTGACTGGTCACGAGGCTGGCAGATGTTGCTGAGTGCAGGGGAGTGAGGGAGCTGCAAGCCAAGCAGGACCGCGTGGTAGCAGAGGGATTGAGGACAGACTGTGGGACGGGACAGCCCTGAGACATGAGTGTCCCTCCCTCCAGCAGAGCTGCATCCAGACAGGTGCTCAGGTGGAGTGGCTGGCCCTCCGAGGGCACACACCGGAGAGCTGGGCCGAAGGTTAAGCAGGACCCAAGATGCCCAGAAACCCAGGGCAAGTCTTCTTCCAAGGGGAGGTCTTTGGTGCTCTTTATTTTTTTTCCAGATTGTTTTCCAAATGTGGCTTTTAGCAATGTGAGAACCAGACTTAAAAATGTAATTCTCCCATTCCAAATTTCTGCAGAACTTAGAGGAATGTTTGTTATCCACACAGTGTATTATATGTTTCTCCATAATCCAAGAATTTGGCTATTATAACCATCCATTTAGTCTGTAAACAGATAATCTTATCTATGTGACAGTGTATGATTTAAAAAAAATAATATAATTTTTTTTAGAGTGGCAAATAATTTAAATATATAAAATTTTCTTTAGAAAAAAATTAGTAAAACCTCGTCATTTAATTCTAAAACAGGTGATATTCTAGTACCATAACTAATCACCTTTTGCTCTTAATCCTAATACAGACAACATACACACACACAAATCTTTCCTTCATTGCTGAATTGTAGGCTAAACTTCCATGAAGCATTAAAGTTGCAGTTGGCTTTCATAAATGGATTCTCCTAACCTACACACAGCATGAGAGAAGAGGAAACATGGGAATCTAGTTTTGTTTTATTAAAAACAGTATTCTGGCCCTACCCT